CGATTACTTTGAACAGTCTAAATATCATTACTTTTATTAGAAGTATTTTGTGGATAATCAATCGACAGTATTGATCCATCAACCATATTTTAACAATTTGCATATGTTAAACGTGGTTGATTACATTAGAAATTTCATTTATTCTAAGCATACACGAAGTACATTCGTATAATTGTGAGAAAGTCTTATATTTATAGTTTTAATTATTGAAGAGAACTGTTTCTTATTTATTTCTCACCAACATTGAAAAAATTTGTTTAATATAGAGAAAATTACTACAGTTGAGGATAGATTTATAGAACGAAAAATAAAATACATTTCATTTAATAGTGCTTTTTTTCATTATTAACCTGAAATATATTGATTATTAAGTTACTGACTTTCATTACTTACGCCTGTTACTCCTCGTGGAGGAGCATAGGCCGAGAGGAGCATAGGCCGTGATTACTAGGTAAGCAACTAGATGTTAATCGCGTTAATGTAAAACTGTGACAAACATCACCTACAAATATTTTGTTCCCTGCCTATTTATTGCTTCCATTACTACTCAAAATGTCTGGCTTTTATCCTATGATATATTAGTTTTTTAGTTGCTTACCTTTTAGTGATTATTAGGTAAGCAGCTAAAAAACTAATATATCATAGGATAAAAGCCAGACATTTTGAGTAGTAATGGAAGCAATAAATAGGCAGGGAATAAAATATTTGTAGGTGATGTTTGTCACAGTTTTACATTAACGCGGTTAACATGGTAACCAGGAGGTACCATACGTATAGTTTGTCCTAGTATAATCGTTTCAAATAGTTGTCATTTTTGTCTCGTTAAATATCGAGACTAGGATCATAAGGTTTTGCGATGAGAGTCCGGTCTTTTAATTGACTGAGTTAGGATACAGTAGTTGTTATTTCCAGATTCAGCCGATCAATCAACAATACTTGTCTGAGCAAGTATATGTCCATTCGTATTTTTTTATCTCGTTTTGTCTAAGGATATTGATCAGAATCAATTATAAATCAATCGATTTGTATCAATAACATATTCAACATAGATTTCATACATACTTGTACTAAGTTTACTTTCAAGGTACACTGACTGTAAGAAAACTACATCTTGTTATTGACAAACTTAAAACGATGTATATATATATATATATATATATATATATATATATATATGTAAGCACGTAGTTTCAAGTCCGTCAATAACTAAATGTAACGTGTTTATAGCCAGTGCACCTTGAAAGTAAGCTGAGAACAAGTATGTGTGAAATCTATGTTAAATACGTTAGTGATACAAACTGACAAATGCACATTCAAACATGATTCCAGCCAAACAAGTCCTAATTGAGCCTAGTTTTATGACCATTATTTTAAAGGTAGTTAGACCTAGAATTTAAACTAAATGGGTAAATAATTTTAAACACAAACTAGGTATATTATGTCCACTTGTAATTAGTAGCTTCAGGAATTGAAGACTATTTAAGTGGGGACTTGAAAACTTATTATTAAATTATAGATCTATGTTTATGACATTCACAGTTTCTTGCTTCAAAAGTTTACCATATCTTTTCAATATATCATTTATATCAAAACCAATATTCGGTCTAATATGTATCTTTGTAGTATCCCCGATCTTACGTTCACTTAAAATCCTTTCATTCTGAATATATATATATAAGTCAAAGTTTAAGGCAATTTGTCTATAAGTAATTGACTCAACATGGATCACTTTCCTTAGCCTTAAAACAGTGACCGAAATCGCCCATACATTTGTCATGCATAGAGACAAAGAAGAGCTTTCTATGTAACAATTTTTATTAAGTTCTGATAATCAAATTAGTCACTACTTTACACCATGCATTACTAAATGAAAGAAAAATCATTATAGTTTGTAGTTTTTTAGACTGATTACCTCATTTGTATATTCCGGTACTATATGACTGACATAAATTTACTTCATATTTTCTTTTGTACAACTTTTCGTATAGTGGAGTAACAAAATATCATATCACTATCACAATTAATCTATAAACATCTTGGTCTAGACTGTAATTTAAAATAAACTTCATCTACGACTTATTCTGTCTAAACTTATTTGTTACTGACAGTTGAATAGATTTTATTTTTATTTGTCTAACGTGTTTAATTATCATAATGTGTGAATATGAAGATGTTCTAATGACAGCTTATGTGTTCTTTATTCCACACTGTACTGTTTACATACTGAAGTATTAAAGTTTAATGTTTATGTAATAAGCATGAGAATACAAGAACAAGGTGAATGATTTTATTAAAATTGAGATAAAGTTTATCTTTCTATAGTTTAGCTTTCAATTTAATTCGGTTGCTTTAAAAATTGATTTTTAAAATCAGTGAAAATATTGTCTTTTTTTAAAAACTGTTTTCTCATCAATCAATTCAGATTTACCTATGAGAAGAATGAATAAAGTGGGCGAATTTCATCATGTTTAACATTACATCATGGTTTAAACTTATTAAGTCAGATGTATTTTACTCTCCAGTTTAAGTTTCAGTAGTATGAGAGAGAAATTAATGGTAATTTCTCAAAATCACTTACTATATTTAATAAACAGGTGATTTACTGAAATGTCTGAAGTCTGTTTTAGCTTTCAGTATGATACCATTATTAATCTTGAATTACTTATTATCACTATATATGATTGCGTAGTCCAATTTAGAAACAATCTTCTTAGGTGAACTCTTTCCAATAAATTGACGATATGAATGTTTTTCGCTATCAAAATTCCGTCATCTTCAAAGTCATTTTTTACTTGTAAATAACCCATTTCAACAAAAAAATCCAGTCATCATTTACTTATGAAAACTTTACCTTGTTTCGTTTTGAACAATAAACCTTTCTATCGTTTTTTACTTATCTGATTATTTACTGTACCTAAATCATCCGTGTAAATCATGTAAAATTAAACACATTTTTATAGTTTATATCTGACCGGTATGGATAGCAAGTAATTGGAAAGGATCCTTCAAACAAAAAAACAGTAATACTATCGTTTTACTTAAATATGTAATGAGGTCAATTTGTATATAATGTATCGCATATGTTATGACATTAAACATTTTAGTTTAGTCCCTTAACGGTGACAGTATCAGATTACATATTAGAGGTCTTAATTAGTTATACAAGTCATTAGCTTTCTGAGATTCAGAACCGTTTAGTTCGCCGTTAACTGCAAATGTTTCTTTACTTTGAGATGAATTCGAGGAAATCTACGGGATGCGTTTAAAAACAATTTCATTCACTGTTTAACAGTCAACTGCTTCAGTTGTTTATTCAGTTTTCAAAGCTACTTTTTTAAAAAAAACATACAAATCAAGATGAGAATTTATTTTCCGGGGATATGAATATTGTTGCTTCTTCATCTGCGTTGGAATAAAGTTATTACTAAAACCCACAGAACAGATGCATAGAAATGATAGGTTTCTAGGAAATAATCGACATGAATTCTACTCCAAATACAAACTTCCAGGAATTTGGATGTTTATGTTTCTCACTTTAACTTTTAATAACAGTGAAGTCAATAGCTAATCATTGTGCTAATCGTCTTGACAGGTTTTGTAACATTTTAGATTAATTTTTTTACATTTCCCTCAACCCATAGCTTTTTGTTCCTTGAAACAATATTTAAACCAATCGACGTATCTATTAATCTTAATATACTTCATAAGGACTTTGATCAGTAATCTACTTCAAAGCGATTTATCTATTCTCTGACCTGAAATTAATTGTTTTAGATACAATAAATATTGTATATGTTTTTAATCACTAAAAAAATCTATGGGAATTTTTCAGCGATTAAAATCTTGTGATCAACCCATTGTGCTGAAGGCACTCAATGAGTCCCTGAAGTATAACGCAAAGTTCACAGAAAATAAAACATCACTGGTATTGTCAAAGTTTCAAACTTGATATCTATCTCTTCGCGAACAAATAAACTAAAAAATAATGAAAACAACATAACAAAAAGAATTCTAATTTCACTTGGTATTGTTTGTTTGGATCTTCCCATTGATGTTTAGGACTGCAATTGGTCGGTCTCTTATTGGCGTATGTACAGACTGTGTGTATTGCCTCGATATAGCCTTAATTCACGTGCATTATATGCAAAGATGAAAAGTCCCAAATAGAACGAAACGTGAGTCCTGCATTCTACTGCTAGTCACTATCCATTTTTGCATATAAAAAAGAATTTTAGTTTATATCTTATCATCGAATCTTATCTCTGCATAAATGGTATAGTGATAGATACTGTTAAACATCACTGTAAATTCTATTCAAATACCTAGAGTTAAGAATAGAACAAAACTAATCAAAATCAGTAACTTAGTGATTACTTCAAATGTATGAATAAACTTACATAGTTTAAATGAATACAGTGATAATAAAGGTAATAAAGATATTCCACTGAAAGGATTACTAATATAAACAATTATCATTTCACATCAACATGTTTCCATGCAAAATAGGGAATATACCTTAGTAGTCAATAGTAGATTAATATTAGAAGCTAATTTCGCACAAACACGTTTAAAACATTTTAAACCCAGAAATAATCCATGTAAGAAATTTTATTTAATAATAATAATAATATTATTATTATTATTAACTGATTTCATACATTCTGTTAAAAGCAATAAAGAAAATTTAACAACTAAATCATGATAAGACTATTTTATCCATACTTGAAAGTGAAATAACCCTTTACTTTCGTAAACATAAAAGAAAATATAAAAGAAAGAAGTGAATAAATCAATAAATTTTGTTTAGGATATTACTTAATGAACCCCCAATTCTTATAAAGTGAAAACAAACATTACATGGAAACATATATTTATGTATTACTGTGAATATAATAAACGATATTATCCATACATCATTTGGTAATAATAAAACGGAATCAATAATAAATGGCTAATCTTTATGAAATATGTATCCATATATAAAAAGCAATATATATATATATATATATATATATATATATATCAGTGATTATTTAAGCATAAACATATGAATGTAAGGATGACTAAATTATTTACTAATCACTGTAGCAATAAAATCACACACATATCTGACATAATATTTTTTTGTAGAAATAAACAAAAACATAATGAAATATATTGAACAACTTCCGCAGTGAAATAAAATTTCATAATGATATATTCATAACGAAAAGATTTTGAAAAGAACAAAAAATGAGAAAATAAACACAGAATTTGAGCAGCAACAATTTTACTAACCTGAGTATGACTAATAAATTGTACTAAATAATCGAAACGAAAACATTATGTCTTTTTTTTAATATAAAGGAAGCATAAAGCTACAACAGTTTGAAACATGTAGGTAAAGCTGAAAATTAATTGTATACTGTAATCAAAGAAGTGGATTTCCCCAGTTAATTTCATCATTTTATGTTATTCTCTTAGTTGTGCATGTGTAGAAGCTAGTGAATCTTTACGATGGAAATCAAAATCTAGGATACTATTTATTAGAGTATGACTTTGTTTAATCATGGTGAATACATTACGTTAGAGTTTTTAGTTCTTCTGTTCCAAGTTGGTGAATCATGATTAACATAATTATTGTAAAGATTTGGTTCACTTTGATTGTTTTTCTGCCTTGAAAAAAACATATATATTGGTCCTTCTTTATCTATCATTGGACCTCTGTTAGGATCCAGTTTGATATACGTGACATTTTCTAGATCATCAACATTATAACGTTCAAAATTAATTACTGGGCTAGGTGATGCTGCATTGTACACAGGGATTTGTCTTACAGGGGCTACCATCACAGGAGAAGGTAACTGACGTACTGGTGGTGGTGATGGATATTGATATGGTGGTGAGGGAGATCTATCTTCAACCATAGAATCACGTATATTTTCTTCTTCAAAATTCGGCAGGGAACGTATTCGGTCACTATCTTTCACAGCTACTTGTCTTAGTGCATTAACATCATGTAGTTTTTTATCTGGATCATTCATTGCACGTCTCATTAATTCCTCAACTTTTCTAACATTTGCTGCACTCTTACATTTGTATATTTCATAATATTTTTGTAAACTTCTTTGTGAATCAATACATAATGCAAAGAATTCCGGTTTAGAATGACTTACATAGAAATGCATAATTTCTTTGTATGATACCCATGGACGAAATGGTATTTTTCCAGTAGTTTTTGTACGTTCCAAACTAAATCGATCTTCCAATAAACCAGCATTACAATGTGATTGTCTTTTACGATGATATTTCTCTATTAATGATAATGCTTTTGATTCACTAAATGTTTCTCCAGGTGCACATGTTACTCGATAAATTGTACAAATATGTGTTTCCAAAAATAGATATTGTTTGGTTCCCACATGACGTAATATATCGTCTATCGGTTCAGAATTACGTATTTTACTAGTGGAACGTTTCGTTTTCATTTCTAATTTAAAGTAGTCAAATATAAGAAATTAAAAAAGAACCAAGTTAAATGAATCGTATACAAACTTACTTTGTCTTGTTTCCTTGTAAAAACTGATGAGCGCTTTTAATTTAAATATTATATATGTATCACTATATGGCTGATTAAAAAAACGTTAATTGAATGACAATGGAACAGATAACTAGATAATCTATATGTTCCCTTATTGCATTTCAATCACTTTGTTATAAGATGTATTTAGTGCATTTATATCACTTGTTTCTTTGCCATTTAGTAATTTATATTAATCAACCAATCGATTCGCTGTGAACAATAAAATGATTACAAGAATATTTTGGTATACACGAGTAGTGGGGGTGGTAAGTAGTGTTATTTAGTATGAGCTAATTAAATAGTGAGTAGATCTTTGACAGTTAAAGTTTATTGGTGGTGATGGTGTATAACTGAACACACACTGATAGATTACTCAACTATTTATAAAAAATGTTCCACTATTTTTACAATTGATTCTAGTTTCTAATACTAGTTGTAATCAATAAATTAGTGAGGTAGTTGAAAAGAAGTGAAGCAGATAGATAAAACCTGACCATAACATTGATAAATTGTAGTAGTAGTAGTAGTAGTAGTAGTAGTAGTGGTAGTAGTAGTAGTAGTGGTAGTAGTAGCAGTAGTAGTAGTGGTAGTAGTAGTAGTAGTAGTAGTAGTAGCAGTAGTAGTAGTAGTAGTAGTAGTAGTAGTAGTAGTAGTAGTAGTAGGAACATGTGTGGCAAATAAAATTTGGTAAGTTAAATAACTACGAGATTTTTAGAAAGATTTGTTAACCGGAGAAGAATGATACAACTTAATACATATGATTTTGTTGAAACATGTCATAATGATCTAAGTATAGACATATATGATGAATTTTCAAACACAGCTATCTCCCAGTAGTCGAAACATAGAAGCATTAAATAACTGTTAGTCGTTTAGTTGGAGGTTACATGAGGTTACTAAGTGCTTTTATCGCAAATAATTTGAAGAATATTGATTAAAAACAAAACTTGACAACTGGATGACTTGTACTGCCTTATTTTATTTCAACAAACAACTGCTTTTAATGTTAGAAAATTATTTGAACAGCTCATAGACAATGAAATCCTTAGACACATAAAACAAGAATGGATTGTTTAAAGTCAAACATAAACATATTAAATGCCGACTCAGTGGTCTACAGGTTAAGCATTCGTGCATGAAATCGAAGGTTTGATTCATGCCTACCAGGTCGTGAATGCTCACCCTTGATGAGATCTATTCTAGAAAGAAAATGCTATCCTGTTCTTCCAGATTTTCAACAGGGTTAAACTTATATGGATTCATGATTTTAATGAATGGAAATGATCTAGCTAGATAGTAAATGCTAAAATCAACTTTCAAACTTATAGAACTCAATATATTAATCACTTTAAAGTTATTTGAAATCTAAAGTTATCTAGAAAAGTGGCTTTAAAGTCGTATGGTTTCCAATTAGCTTGGTTTTAAACGAATCTAGAACGTTTATATGATGGTTCATATTTTGGGCAGTTGAAAGAATGCATCTGGATATTTATTATCAAGAAGTACACGTTCACAATGCTCAGATCATGAAAATATTACGTCATTTCAGTGGAAGTGATCATATAAAAATTTCGTTTTCATGTACATTTAAATTCGACAAAAAAATCACAAATCAGTGATCATTTCACTCATATATGAATTTATCTTAAAATAAACGTTCATGATAACCAAGTGTCAATTATTTTGTTATTAATACATTTGTTCACATAACATACATTTGATAAAACGATCGACCTTCATCTTGGACACTATATAAGCCTAAATTTATGGGAATCTGTAGTAATAAATCTCTGCTCAACAGTCTGTAGAATACGCTAAAACAGGTTAATCTATGTAACTTTTTATCATCTAAATAAATGCTAGTTGACCTGCCCAGTTAATTCTTTTCTGATAAGTTTCTCCATAATGTCAGAACAAGTAAGGGTTTTTTTCAGATTTATTAAACCAATAACAATATTGAAGTGAAGACCAGAAAAGTCATTGATAAAGATATAAGAAAAAGTATTACACCAGTATACAAAATGGTTTGTTTATGATTTTGTAAAATCACAGTGAAATCAATCTGTTTTTGATGATTTATAATGGTACAAAAGTCGATTTCTTCCTGTGAATTAAAAACTTTCTTATTGCATTTATTGTTTACTATCATTTCTTCTGAACAAACTAGATGATGTCGACTATCCCAATGATCTCTCAAACTTCCGATTTTATTGGTAACCAGAAAATATCAAATCGGAGAAAAATTACCTATCGAGGAAAAGTGTTTGTGCAAAATGTTGCTTAAACTAACATTATTTTAATAAAGAAAATGCTGAAATACTATGGAGCCCAAAAAGAACAAACTAATAACTTATTTTTAAAATGATTTCATTATTGTAAGTAAAATTTTAACTATAGTTGTTACTTACTTACGTTTGTTACTCCTCGTGGAGGAGAATGGCTGCTCACCAGCATTCTCCATCTAATCCTGTTCTAGGCTATCCTTTTCAGCACTTTCCAGTTGTTATTTATCCTTTTCATATCTGCTTCTATTTCCCGATGCAATGTGTTCTTTGGCCTTCCTCTTTTCCGCTTGTTGTTTAGGACTCCAGTTGATCAATCTCATGTTAGCATATGTGCATCCTATGTGGACTGCCCCGACATTGCCTTAAATTACAAGCTTTATAGGAAAAGATGGATAGTGGCTAGCAGTGGAATCCAGGACGCGCGTTTGGTTCTATTTAGAACTCGAAAAGTTACTCTCAAATTTAGTTGGTTGGGTTGCGATGTATACCGAATTTAGAGAATGAAAAAAATATTAGCTATTATGTAGCTAGTCAACTATCGAGATTCTGTGAGTCATCTTTTGCGTGTACCGCAAAATGTATAAATATTTCAAATGAATAACTGTAAAGAATAATACAAAAGCTATGTAAACTATGGTAAATAGAAGTTTCTCTCGATCTAATAGCTTTACATAACCACATAATTTGAATGACATATACGGCATCTTTTTGCCAAAATGAAATCTCTTGTATGAATTCTGTTTAACTAAGTTTGTATTTTCCCGTATTTTGGCATTATTGATTGCTGTAATTCAGTGTTTATGACATACGTGTACTATGATAATTATATTTATATTGTTTCACTAGTGTTTCAATTGAAAACAAATGATTTTTAAATGCAAAGGACAAGAAACCATTTCCATTAGTTTTGTTTCCTATCATTTGCCTTAATAGTTGTGAAGCTCAAACAATTCTTGTTCATTCATAAATAACTATTTTCAAGCCTAAATATAAAGGCTTGCGTAATTTAATAATAATTATGTAACATCAAATGATAATTAGTTATATTTAGTCCCAACATTATTAGGATGAAATCGAGATTTAAAATGGAAGGATGATTTACTGTGTAATCTAACATTTATTCAAACAATTAGATCCTACCTAAGGCCAATTAAAGCAATGAGTTTACATATTATTGCTGTTCAAGGAATTTCGTTATGATCTAAACCATTTCAAATTCTGCTATTTGGCCAAATGAAAAATCAATCGAAAATTATAAATAATAAATACATTCACATGTGATGATTAAAATAGCTAAATTGCGTGTTTTTAAATTTCTTAAACTTTTTTGGCGTTTATATCATACAAAGTTTTGTAATCAGTCACTGTTGTTAGTTAAATTGATCGGTGTTATTCAATATACTATCGATCTACTCATATGATTATATGGAATTGATGGGAAATGAAAGCTGATAATTAGAAAAGTCAAGTAGTTGTGGCATCTGGATCTATTTCCTCTGCTAATTTTCCCGACATTCAAATTTTTTAGTTGTTGAAATAGATCAGCTATTTATCAGGCATCAATGACTACGCTACGCAGATTATAGGCTGCTACTCACATAAAATTAATGTCCCCGATGAAAAATGATGAATATTTTAAAACGAATTAAATTAAACCGCGTCATGCTGACATTGAAGTGCACTCAGTACAAAATGTTGATATAAATATATATGTAGTCCATTGATTCTTTGATACATTAGTTGCTGTTAATGTTTGAATAACTATACTTTATCGGTATAGGGGTTGTTGAGATTATTAAGTTTTTGATTGAGATCATGAACCGATTGATGTTAGATCACCATTGAAAACCCGGAAACACTAGACAGCCGTTTCGTTCTATTGTGTGCTCACTAGTGACTAGCTTCGTGAGGGAATTCTCGGAGTTCTAGTGAGAAGCCGTGACCAGTGGAAACGGACATCCAGTACCTCCAGGTTTTTAATCGTGGTCTAACATTTATCGGTTCTTGATCTCAATCAAAACTATACTTTACATTAATCACACTTAAATTATTCCTATCCGTACCAAATAAAACAAGTAATATTTAAGTGGCTTAAGTTTGGAATGAATATAACATATTGCACACACTATTGACAAATGAACACTTTAATAAATCTGTTACTGAGATGTTTATATTTATTTAATGATTCATTATAAACTATTCTGTACATCAATTTATTATTACTAATAGTTTCTGAACATTAAATTTTATGATTTTGTTGAACTTATTCATTTGTAATAACCATTTTTAACATAGCAAATAGAACTACTGAAAGTTTACACATTCATTATGTAATATTAAAATCATGAAATAGAAGAGCTGTGTGTATTATGATTTGATATAACTAGATTTCTCTATTCATAATCACAAGTTAAATTTAGTAGTATAATATTTTTCTTGGTGTTCAATTTCTTAACTTAATGAAAATGTTCGGTTGGTCAAATTATCCTATTTAAGGCTTTCATATTTAATCTAGAAAACACACAATTCAGGTAAAACTGAATTATCAGTTTTACTTCGTTAGTTACTAACGCCTACTTTTTCTCAACGGTTAATTTAACTGGTTGTTTTCAACAATTTTCTCGTCACTGTTTGAACAAATATTTTAATTTTCTGTCCTGTTAATTTGATTCTCAGCTTGATAGTTGTGTATGAATTTTTTCAGATGCAATGATGGACATAAAACTCCATGTTATAAGCAATAAATCTGATTTCTGTATACTTCAAACTTGTTGTCAGAGTAGGAGATTTACAGATAATATTCAATTTGTAGGAGTACCCACATCTTGAGCCCACTACTGTTCGTAACTTAGATAACACCTTACCATTCACATTAAGATATAAGTCGAGTGATGTATTACGAAAACACACCTGTGTGTATTTAGCTC